GCAATCTTTTATCATTCCTATGAGTGGACCAAAATAAAACTGTTTGTATTTTCCAGTCAGGTGGTCTTGGAGGGTTAAAGTATCCCCTACTATCAGATTTTAGTAAAGAAATATCAAAAGAATATGATGTTTTATTAGAAGAGGAAGGCATAGCTTTAAGGTGGGCTTTGTTTATTATTGGGGTTTATTTATTTTATATTCCAGTGGCTTTGTTAATTATTGGGGTTTATTTATTTTATATTCCAGTGGCTTTGTTTATTATTGGGGTTTATTTATTTTATATTCCAGTGGCTTTGTTTATTATTGGGGTTTATTTATTTTATATTCCAGTAGCTTTGTTTATTATTGGGGTTTATTTATTTTATATTCTAGTGGCTTTGTTTATTATTGGGGTATATTTATTTTATATTCCAGTGGCTTTGTTTATTATTGGGGTTTATTTATTTTATATTCCAGTGGCTTTGTTTATTATATAGGTTTATTTATTGTATATTCCTGTGGCTTTGTTTATTATTGGGGTTTATTTATTTTATATTCCAGTGGCTTTGTTTATTATTGGGGTTTGTTTATTTTATATTCCAGTGGCTTTGTTTATTATTGGGGTTTGTTTATTTTATATTCCAGTGGCTTTGTTTATTATTGGGGTTTATTTATTTTATATTCCAGTGGCTTTGTTTATTATTGGGGTTTATTTATTTTATATTCCAGTGGCTTTGTTTATTATTGGGGTTTATTTATTTTATATTCCAGTGGCTTTGTTTATTATTGGGGTTTATTTATTTTATATTCTAGTGGCTTTGTTTATTATTGGGGTTTATTTATTTTATATTCTAGTGGCTTTGTTTATTATTGGGGTTTATTTATTTTATATTCCAGTGGCTTTGTTAATTATTGGGGTTTATTTATTTTATATTCCAGTGGCTTTGTTTATTATTGGGGTTTATTTATTTTATATTCCAGTGGCTTTGTTTATTATTGGGGTTTATTTATTTTATATTCTAGTGGCTTTGTTTATTATTGGGGTTTATTTATTTTATATTCCAGTGGCTTTGTTTATTATTGGGGTTTATTTATTTTATATTCCAGTGGCTTTGTTTATTATTGGGGTTTATTTATTTTATATTCTATTGGCTTTGTTTATTATTGGGATTGTTCATAGCCCAGGGCTTGTTTATTATAGGGTTGTTTATATTTCAGGGGGTTGTTTATTTTTCAGGGGTTTGTTTATTATTGATCAAGTAGGAGTTGTCAGACAGATTACAGTAAATGACCTACCAGTGGGACGTTCTGTTGAAGAAACATTAAGATTGGTTGAAGCTTTCCAGTTCACTGACAAGCACGGAGAAGGTAGGCAAAC